AATTAAATCAAATAACAACCAAAAAACAATCAAGAAATCCCTGACAGGTGCCACTCTGTAACTCAATTGGTACAGAAATTAAATGATTTATTACTCTTGTTAATGGTTGCGAGTAATACAATCCAAAAGAAGACAGGAGACCATACCTAGACATAATTCGCTTTAAACAATTCATGTGAACTATGTCAAAAGTTTTTCCAGCATCCAAAGATACTAATTCAACAGAATCCAAACTACCTTGGAGAAATATCTAGAATTAATTTTTGAACTGGAAACTTTGTCAATTAAAGAAGAAGAAATAAAAACATAATCCATTCTAAAATAGGTCCTGTGAGCATAGGAAATAAAAGGATACTCTCTTTTTACAGGATACCTGCCAAATATCCTTCAGGTTAACTTCTTGCATGTAAGCTTGCATCAAACATGATTACAAATACATTGAAAATCTATAACAAGATTTTCTTTGTTGTTTGTTTCTACAGCAACAACTAAATGATCAAAAGACATGGTAAACAATTTTGAAAACTTTGACATGCTTCTAGATTATTTTTGTAGGGCCATAAAAATTTACCATAGGAATGAGACAATCAAATATCTTCAAACAAAGATAATAAAATATGCTTCATTATCTAAGCATTCTTGAACCATATCTATATTTATAGATATATTAAATAAAACCTTGACCCAATGGTCTTATTGCTATTACTACCAATATATGATAAATCCAGTCAACCAATATCAAACAAGAGATTTTTCATCATGTAGAATATGGGTCCCCTGCAAAAACATATTGCCACTATATAGTTTTCAAAAGAAATTTCTATGCTTAAAGATATTATGCATACCTTTAACATTCCAGGTTAGTAAGCATTGAAGTGTAATAAAAATGAATCCAAGAAGCATAAATCATACTGAAACCTTCCCTTGATGGCAAAATATAAAACAACCATAAATATAAACTTTCTGATCAATCTAACCATTACAACAGATACACTTAGGTGAATTTAATAACATGTAAATATAAAATTTCAAAAAAATATATAAAGAAAAAACATAAAACAAGAACAAAGCAAATGACTTCCAAGACTTATTCACCACTTAAACACCCACCCTCCTTCCCTAGCTTCATTAGGCAAACAACTAGAGACTGAGGCTGATCTGAATGTGGATCTGAAAATGGATTTAAAAATCCCAGACTACAAGAGTGATATGGAAAAAGATGCCACATGGGATTTACAAATAAAACTGGCTGATGTCTTAACAATTAAAGGGGACGTACAAATAATAAACCAGAAGAGTGACTTGGATAGCTTTCTTATCTTGGATTTACAAAAGAAATGTGTTAAACTAGTGAAGGAGTTTCTGAGAGAAGACAAAGAGAAAATGATAAGAAATCAACTTGTCGGACATTATTTGAAGGGATTAAAGGTCAAGCTTTTAAAAAGTAAACCGAAGGAATATAAAGTGGATTTATTTGATCAGGGTTAAAATATATACGTTGTGGTTTCTGGTAGCTCTTAATGGTACTTTTCTTTTATTAGGACTGAATGACGAGACTTTGAAGATTAGTTTATAGATAACAGATAAGATATGGGGAGAGATTTCTTTTGCTTTATATTTCAAAGAAAGTGATAAGCTTGAATATAAAATGGATTTATTTGATTAAGGTTAAAATATATATGTTACTATTTCTGGTAGCTCTTAATAGATTTTTGCTGATTAGGACTGAATGACAAGTTTTTACAATTTGTTTATTGATAAGGGATGAGATATGGGAAGAAGAGATTTTTTCATTGCAATATTAGAGGAGGTGTTAAGTTACTGAAGTTGTTTATACTTGTCTGGAGGGATGTGGAGTCACTTTTTTATATGTTTGTTTTTTCTTATTCTTTTCTTTTTCTCTGTATCTTTTTCCTTTTTTCCTTTTTATATTCTTCTTAGTTTGTATTAGTTTTTTTATCTTTGTATTTGTAAACTTTAATACAATTATTATAAAAAAACAAAGGTTAAAATGAAAAACGTTAATAGAGAGAACAAGAAAAAAAAAAGGAAAGGAAAGGATTAATCTTAACAGAGGATGTCTATACACCAATAAAAAAAAAAGTGAAAAACTATATAAACCATCCACTATATGTATATATGTATGTATGTATGTATGATAGGCATTGAACCCAGCATCTGCCCACCATTGAAAAAAATAATTATTACCTTATAGCTGCTGTGCAAAAGAATGGCAAGATTTGGAAAAAAAAAACTAAGCATCTGCGGGAAAGAAGACAAGAAAAACAGTAAAAAAGATGGTGATTTATTGCATAGTAAAACATTCCAGAGCCTCTTCAGGAATTATACAGTGCTTGATTTGGCCAGAAATTAAAAGGCAAAAAATTGCAGGAGGAAAAAAAAACTTAGTAGATTTCTCTTTGGCTAAAATATATGTTGGATCAAACTGTTTCCTTAAAGACACTACAGAAGGTGGTATATCTGTGAGGATTTGAAAGCTATGATTCTTGAATTTCAGAAATTTCCCATGCTTTTCTTAAAATCAAGTCTCAGATGGTCAGTTTTGAAAAGTGAATGAGAGGAGCAGCACTTCCTACAACATTAACTCAAGTACATCTCAGATCTCTAAATCAAGGGATTTGAGCCTTCAATATCAGGGGGTAAATCAATTATTTTTCAAAAGCCTATACTGTAGGTTAAATCTTGTATTTTTATAAGCTTTCTCTTACTCTGATCAATACTCTTTGTGTATTTTTGAATTTTAGATTTAGTTGTTTTTATTCTTGACTCACAGTGTACTATGATCAGATCCTGGAATCTAAGACTCAAGCTTCACTTCAGTGTTTTATCATTTTTTTTCACAGAGTAGTTTTATAATTTAGTCAATTAGTTTTAAGTATTTAGATTTTTTTAGTATTTAGTATTTTTTAGTATTCTACAAGTAGTATTTATAGAGTTTTATAGTGTGAACCACTTTATTCCTATTAGTCATCCAGGAAATCTATTTGAGTCTTGTAACCTTTTTATATAAATTATATAAAATGACAGTAAAAAAATGTAGGAAAAAAAAGAGAGAAATTGTCTGGAATATCCTGTAGAACATGGAGGTATGACATGATCCACCAAATCTACTTTACCTAGAATGGGCCTAAGATTTTGATCACTTAGGTTATTATCCAATTTCCCCTCCAGTAGGGCTAAAGCACTGAACTGTGCTATAGTAACCTGTGAAGTTAAATAAAAGCTGGCCAGTAATACAGGTAGTCCTTGTTTAGTGACTGCCTCATTTAGCGACCATTCTCAGTTATGACAGTAATGAAAAAGTAACTTTGCAACCAATCCTCACATTTACGACCTTTGCAAGGTTGAAGCTGAAGTAAGATCATAAGCATAGCTGTGGTTTCACTTAGTAACCGCTTCACTTAATGACAGAGTTGCCAGTCCCAATTATGGTTGTTAAACAAGGACTACCTGTAGATGTCTCTGCTCCACACACTTCTTACAGATGAGGGGCTTAGATCAAGAACTAAGAGAACTCGCAGTTATGCATATCCCCTTCTATTGCTTTTCCCCTCTGGATGAATTAAAAGTATTAAATTAAATTAACACAGTCCTCTGCATCATACATGCAGAAGAATGTACTCAAAACATTGTTGTTGTCTGATTTTGTTTCACAATTACCTTTTCTGGAAAGCTAAACTGTGGATGTATACTTCTTGCTTGAGCAAGCGTCAAAATCCGTTCGGAAGCTGTACAACGAAGTGCCGAGGAGCTGACAGGCCACATAGGGGAAATTCGTGGCCTGCAAAGGAACAGAAGAAGGGCCAGTGAGATTTTTATGTTTCCTACTGGCCATGTTCATGATGCTGAAGAGGTCTCAGATCTGATTTATATGCTTCTACCATCCATTGTCTCTGCAGACAGGGTAAATATGATTTTTTTTGAACTGGGATGATCCAGCTTTGGTCAGGAAGCTCTTGCTGTGGTTTTGCAATACATGGGGCAGTCCACTTTCCTAACTGAGAGAACTGCCTCTTCCCTCATCCTGGGATCGAGTTCACTTATCACTCAGCAGCTTCAGTAAGCTTCACTCCCAGACCTCCCTGTCCATAGAGCAGTGTTTCTCAACCTTGACGACTTTAAGATGTGTGGACTTCAATTCTGGGGGTTGAAGTTCACACATCTTAAAATCGCCAAGGTTGAGAAACACTGCTATAGAGATTCCATTGTCTCTGAAACTTCTACTGGGCACGCATTAGAACTTATCTTTCTTTACTCTCTCCCTTTACTCAACAAAGTTGCCCAATACGATACTGCCAGCATGCCACTTTTGTAGACGGCAAGGTTTTAGCATCTGAGACAGGACTGGCCTTGGTGACTGAAAGATTGGAGAAGAAATATCAGATGAAGAAGCTTGCTTTTAATACTCATTGTTAGAAATCAACATTTAGCATTACTGAATGTATATGGTCCAGCCAGTGATGTGTCGAAAACCATACACAATTGTTTTCAATTTATGAATGCTAAATCAGTGGATTAAATAATAATTAGAATGGATCTAAATCAAACTTCTTTTGGCCATTTTGTAGATTGTAATAGACCACATCCAAATTATATACTCAAATTCACAATATTTTCCAAGACTATATGTGCAAATCTAATCAAATACCTCTCTGGTGAAAACACTTTCTTCTCTTTAGCATGTGAAACTGTTTTTTGGGGGATTATTTCCTATTCATCTCATTCTCAAGTATTTAAAATTAAAATATATGATATAGATACTGTAAATATTTCAGACCACATGCCTGGGAAGTTAAGTTTTGTCTGACAGTAATTTACACACATTTTTCAAACAGTCTTTGAATGTATCTTTTTATTGAGCATGTAGAGACAGATGATATTAGAGGCTGCAGATCACTTCTTGATTTTGTGATGGGGCCAAGAGCATGTTGGCTTGCATGAAAATTTTTAGAGATCTGAAGCTTACGCAGAACAGCCTGAGCATGCTTGGGGTAAAATATGGCTAAAATGTGCCAAAATACTTGGTACTATCCTCAAAGCTAGACTTAACATTTTTAAATATTCTCACAGTGTACTTATTCATATTGCATATCATTTTTTTTTCTTGAATGCTCGCATTGAAAGCATTCATTGCAATTCCATTCTTCAACCTATCACTATCATTCCCATGCATATCTCTGAAACTCTACTTCCAACATTCCTTCACTTCAGTTTCATCCCAAATCATCACTTTTATTTTTTACTTGATTTCAGCGTTCTTTGTTTAGCCTTTTCACCCATTTCCAAATTAAAAAAAAAAAAATTCTACCAAAATTTTCATTGCTTTTTTCATCTTAACCTTTTCTTGGGTTCTGTTATGACCACATTCTTTGCAGTTATCATTTTTCTCTCTGCATATGTTATACAATAGCTTTTTCATCCTCGTTTTTTAGAACAATCATTCTCTGATATTATTTTGTTTTCTCATCCACAGCCTTTTTCACTTCATAATTTCACCAAATGTCCTTTTTCGTATTTTCACATTAGTGTAGTTCCACGTGCTTCCATAGTAGTTTGTAATGTAATTTTGTATCAGTGATGTGCTGGACCTGGCTCATACCGGCTCGCGGGAGCTGACTGTTAAATTTGCAAGCCGGCTGAGAGCAGAGCTAAGCCACCACGCCTAGTGCACTGATCACCTGTTCCACAGCTAGTGGCACAGTGTGGCGGCAGCAATGGAACCAGCAGAGCCGGTTCATAAACCTTTACCAGCACACACTGCTCCATATCCTCTTTCTTTACATCAACTTTCCATTCATTCTATTTGGAAATTAATCTATATCTAAATATGTTTTTATACAAGCCTTGCATTCTCTTTACGTGCTATTTTCTCTAGTTTCTTTCACCATTTTTTTTCCTTTCTTCCACATGTGTTTTCCTCAAGATCCACTCTTGACACTCCCAAATAGCAATCTGTTCCACATTCAGAATCTCCCAAGATGCTTCTAACCTTTGCTAGTTCTTTCAATCTTTCATCATAAAGAATCAAACCAGTAACACTTTTTTTATTCATTTATTTACCAAATGTATGTATAGCTTAAACCACATATTCTAAAGAAGCAGATCCTTTTCTAAGCAGATATTCATCAAAAATCACCATTCACATTCAGTTTTGGGGCTCTCAGTAACTTTTTCTCTATTCTTTCATTTCATTCCCACCTCTCCATTTCATGTCACCAATTAGATTTTCTTTCTCCTGAATGTTGAAGAAAGAATGTTGAAGAATTTTTCAAAAAAATCATCCTTGGTTCTTCCATTATCACCATCTCCATAGACCCATTCACACATAGATAGTAATGTGAGAAACACCACTGTAGCACAACCTTTACAACTAATTACATAGCTTCTTCCCATTCAAATTTTGCCCAGCTGGAAAATTGGCTGCACTCTTCATATTAAGGAATCATATACCTGGAATCTCTCACATGGTATTTTCAGAAGCAGATTATTAATGTCCTATGTGACCATGTAATTCTTCAAGAAAATGCAGAAATTTTGCAGATTTCTAACACTTCATGAAATGTCTAATTTAGCTTTATTTACATTCATTGACCAGCTCTCAGAGAATATGCATACCAGATGAAGACAGTACAGAGAGTAACAGCAATAAACATTTGCACAATTAAAGAGTTTTAAAGAATGTAAAGTTCACAAGGTGATATTAAACAATAGTCAGATGTAGACTGTTCCAGTCTAGATCCAGCTTGCTGCTTAGCAAAACCCTTGTAATCATCCAATCAATTAATTCAGGTGTTTAGCATACACTTTACTAACTATACTAAAGGGATGAATTGGGCAGGAATTTGCTGGATCATATCTTTTTAAAGATTGGAACTGTTACTAAGACCAGACCTCAGGAATATGGAGAGCTGAATTGATCCTATGTTAGAATAGCAGCCCACTTTTCAAAGGCTTTCTTGCCTGAATTCTATATTGAAAATCCCACTGGAACGCGGCAATTAGAAAAAGCTCATTACTGTTAGGGCCTTACCTTTGTTTCAGATACGTTGTTGAAATTGGCCTAGGTTCTGCTAGCTTCAGCAATCGCTTTGTTGGCATTACAGAATATACTGCTGAAGAACGTTGCCAAATCTCAGACATTTGACCACAGCTGTACAAGAAGAGGGACCTTTGGAAAAACCACAAGGATGGATGAGACAGTAACACAAACAGTGAGTGAAAGTAGAAATGCCATTTTATGTTCTTCTTGGGTCTACTGCTGCCTTCTTCAACATGGAGCTTTAAAAAATAAAATGCTTTTCAACCAACATATCCATGCTGCACTTTAATTACAGGTGTGCTGCTTTTAATGTTTCTTCCATCTTTTATTCAATCGTCCCAAAGAACCTGAATTTGGGCTTATTAAGGTTTGCTGCATTTTTATGCTATTCTTCTGAATTGTGGCAAGTACCTTGCCATGTATATAGTTGATGTTATATACATACATATGCATATATTTCACATTTCTGCCCCCTAATGTAAACAGGATATTTAGAAGAAAGTCCAAGACTAAATAAATAAATAAATGTATTTCACAGAGCTGTGTTTAAATCATTTCAGGAATTGTTCCATTGTTGCTACTTGTATTGGTACTCGAAAGTATTCAGCGTCAGACCTAGAATTCAAATTAAAACATCCAGCCATTCCAGAATAAACAGATGATTATTCGATGAGTCAATCTTGTTGGCATTGGCAAACAAGACAAATGCTACACCCTTTTTGTTAAAAATAATAAATGTTATTGTTATGGTCCGAAACTAGCCTACACCCTTTTCACTTATCCTTCCTGCTGCCTGTCAATTGCTTCTCCAAAACTGAATTGTATATTGAACTAATTCATTATTATTAATCAAAGCTAATATTCTCCCAACCTTTTGCACTTGGTAGTTGAAACTATATCAGATATTAATAAGCTGCCACATGATAAGCATAAACTTTTTTAGCAATATCTACACTGGTAAGGGATTTTAGTCTTTCCCCAAAGAATGTGAGGACTTCAACTTCAGGTACGTTTGCCCTTTAAATTAGTAGTGCTGATGCATCCTGAAAAAACAGATGCTGATTTGAGCACAAAAGCAATGGCAGGGGAATCTGCTTAGGATCAAACACGGTGTTTACTGAATGGAAGCAACAGTAAGCAAAGCTACCAACATCTCCAATGTCCATAACAAGAGTGAACACCAAAGGATGGTTTGCTCCCAATGACTGGAGTGGGCGAGTGGTTATTTCATGTTTAAACTGCTCATTCACTGAAATCAGTGTGACTTCAGCACTAAACCTGGCCTATTTATTGAAACCTGGGTGGGGGGTGAAGAAGAGGGAGATCTTCTTTCAGAAATCTGCTCACCCAGATTTCAGGTTTGGCATGGATGGATCCCTCTCTGATTGCCATGGAGCTCTGCAATGGCAACTCCCCTATGCACTGCCTCAGGCCCTCAATAAGTTGGATCAGGTCTATATTTGGATGATCTGTTTACCAGTTGGTGTGGTTCCTGCTGCCCAAGTGCTAAATAACCAGGCTTTCCATCTGCCAATCCTTCTATCATGCTCAAGATGGAGCACTGGGCAGGCAAAAAAGCAGCATGCTAACTGCCATTTCCTAAATGGAGGGACATCCGTTAGTTGAGAAGTTTCACCTTCTGTATCCAACTTAGTATACTGAACTGACAGTGAGTTTTGTTGGTGGCTAAAGTTATGACAGCTGGTTGATATAGCTTATTATTTGATTACCCCTATTCAAGCCTTTCTCATAATAAGGATAAAGTATAAGACAGTGATGAAACATTAACTAATCATTCTGAGTTCCTAACAACTAACTAGTAGTTGTAACTTTGTTTAATTAACAGCTTTATCCTTCTACCAAGACCTTTTAGTCAAGGACCTTTTCTCTAGGACAGTGTTTCTCAACCTCAGCAACTTTAAGATGAGTGGACTTCAACTCCCAGAATTCCCTAGCCAGCATACTGGCTGGGAAATTCTGGGAGTTGAAGTCCACTCATCTTAAAGCTGCTGAGGTTGAGAAACATTGCTCTAGGAAGTAGAAAAGCATTCCCTTTGTATGTGGGATTTTTTTTTTCAAAACTACAAATTAATATGGTCTTTCTGGGAACCTCAAGAGCTATTTCAAACAATCTCTGCTGCCTAGCACCTAAACACTGGACTCCCCCGTGCCCTCTTCTACCTGGTCCTTTCCTGCTGGCTTCCTCTCCTGGCTACTACATGTCATGTTTAGATCTTAGAATGGTTCCACATAAGTCCTCCACAGAATCTCAGGAGTACCAAGATAATGTTGTCTTCCATTTGTTAATAGTACAGTGTTTTTTCCACCTTTTTTGCCAACTCTTTTTCCCCCCCACTTTTCTACACACCAAAGAACTCCATTCAGGAGAGAAAAGTGAAATAAGTGCACAGTGATACACTGATTGCCACAATGGGCAGGAGGTGTGAGAGATGGGCAGCTATATAAATGTGATGTATAAATAAATTACATAAATAAATAAACCAGAGGGGATCAGGTAAGGAAAGTAGCAGCTGCCTTGTGTTCTGCTGCACTGGGACATGGAATGCGAGATCACAATTCTTAAATATTTGACTTTTGTGCAGTCTCCATTCCATAGCACAAGCTGCATTTAAGGAACTTTCCTTGGACAAAAACTTTCCTTGGTCCTTACTGAACCAAAGATAACATTTCCTTGGTTTCTAAAGAAATTTGCGATATAGTATAAGTAGTTACTGTTCAGGAAATGTGGCTAAAGCATTTAACCTTAGTGGCACTGAAGGAGGAAAATTAAGACAGAAAGAGAAACAGAGACGGACATGAAAACAAACCTCTGCTGGTTATCAACTCTCTCCTTGGGTGCTGCTAGAGCCAGAATTCTTGGGTTTGGCCGTCTCAACGAAGACCTTGAGGAAAGGGGCCATAAGGTCTCTTGATTTCCCCAGACTAACTTGCTATTATGAATACAAAATGCAAGTGCCAGTTAAAATGAGTACACAACCATATAACCTGATAACATGTAAATAATAAACAATAATAAAATACTATATTTATTACAGAGCATAAGATCTATGCCTGATACCTACAACTACCTCTCACATTATTAAAAATGTATTATACAGTATATCCTTAGATTGTGCTTATACATACATGCTATTGTATGTATAAATTATGGTAACTATTCCTTTTTAAACTATCTGTAAATTAAAACTATTTGGGCAGAGAATATGACAAAGATATGTATAATGATGAGGTTGGCTTGTTGTGAGCGGTAAATTCACTAACACAGTTCACAATTAATGTAAACTCACCCTCATGAAACCCCCTCACCATACAAGTATTAGCAAAATGAAAACAGACCAAAAATATTATTTTTATAAATTTCTGGCCTCAAGGCAAAATGCCTCACAAAACAAGACTGTCTGGGGAATTCTGGGAGTTGAAGTCCACACATTCTAAAGTTGTCAAGATTGAAAAACACTGCTATAAACGCTAGAGCAGCAACAGTCCCATAAATTGGGAGTTGTTAAATTCTGCCCACACAAAAGCAAACCTGTTAGTAACATTGCAAAATGAAAGGGACTATAGGAAGAGCAACAATTGCCAATAGCACTGTATGATTCATCTCCACATATTAATAAACTAAACAATTCTTGGTATGTTTACACTGGAATAATCTACCTGAACTGATCTTGAAGATGTACTAATAAGGGTGGAGTTTCATTAAGTTAAATTTTAATATACCAAAACCATAATTTTATTTTTCTTTTTTTATACTAATGAGGCCACTGCAAGATGGCAGGGATCTTGAACCAGGCACTTTAGCAGAAAGATTGATATGTCTTACTATCTGCACTAAGATGGTAGCTTGGCATGAGAAGTAGCTACTAGCCTGTTCTCTACTGGTGCTCAGTATTACTAGTGCAAAGAGCCTTTTGTAACTAATTAGTTAATTCACCAGGGAGCAAGTGAGACAACTGAATAAAACATCTGAATTGCTCTGTACTGTACCCACTAAGGGTACAGTAGGGACAGGCAAGTTGGCAACCACAGTCACTCAGGTGCTCACTTATATTCTTTTGATGCCCAAGCTCTCTACTCCATGTGGCTGTATTCTTATTTTTAGATTCTTTTAATTAAAACAAATAGAGTGCAGGCATGCTGCAAAATCAAGCCCCAGTCTCTAATACCATCTGAACTCCATATAGACCAGTGTTTTTCAAACTTAGCAACTTTAAGATATGTGGACTTCAACTCCCAGAATTCCCCAGCCAGCATGTTGGCTAGCTAGGGAATTCTGGGAGTTGAAGTCCATACGTCTTAAAGTTGCCAAGTTTGAGAAACACTGATATAGACCCTAAAGCCACTTTTAGAAAATGGTAATAGTGAATGACAAAGGCCAATGTTTTCTTTGCAAGCGTGCTCTGAAAAAAGGCAGAAGTAAATTGGAGTGGTAAGGAGTAACCTGGAGAGCTAGAAGCATGATTAAGAGCAGGCCACATCTACCCTGTGAATAGGCAACACCCACTGGCAGCCATTTCATTAATGTACTTACACCATAGTTGGAAAATGTCAAATGTTCTGACAACTTCACCTAAACCACACTATAAAGACTATCAATATCTTGATATCCAACTCACCGATGAAAATTCCATACATCTTTTGTTGGCTTTGGTTTTGCAAGCTCTTGTAACCTGGAAAATGCAAATTTTAAAACATTACACACTGTTGGGGAAAACTACTGTGCATGGAAACTCAATTCGGTACAATTTTACAGCTTGACAAACCTCCCCAACTTCACTGAGCAACTTCCAACCATGCACTGCATCTAATTATATCAAGTGCAAATGCCACAGTTACATTCCTCCAGATCTTTAACTTCCATTACTACTGATTTGCCCTGGGAGCACTGAGAGAGAATAGACAAGGAGATTATGTATTATTACTGCAGGTTCATTAAATACAAAAACCCAGGTAATACATTTAGCTAATTACATTTAATCTCCAATATTATTCTATCATGTATAAAACTTGCTTCTAGGCAAAAGCTTCATTGAGAGGCACTAATGCATTGGGGTGGTAGGCCTTCAGTTCAAGCTAAGACATGTTCAAGGACAAAAATTCTTTGCAAGACAAACACCACCCTCAAGTTCATAATAATGTTTTCTTAAAAGAGAAGAGTGTGAGAATAACTATCATGAAAGGAGGAAGAATCTCTCTCCCAGCCAGTGACAGAGACCATGAAAGAGAGAAAGTTCTTCCTCCTTCAGCCATTAGCCACATAGGCAGTGAGTTAGGGCAAGTGAAACATTGCTAGGACTAGGCCAGGACCCAGGGATGTGCTCCATCCTTGGTGACTAGTTTCTAAGGGTGTCTCTCTGTTGACATAACAGCACAAAGGTGTGCAGTTGTGCCAGAAGCATTAATATCAAGCCTAGTCAAGCTTGCAGCTCCAGGTTGTATATCAAATATAGGGAACCCTCTAGTGCCTGAAAGAATTGGATTTGTTGCTCACTTTTAGGGTTCATTTGGACACCTACTTTCCATCCTGGAGTCAGCAGCAAAGCATATTGACATTACTGTACTTCCCCCAGGGATGAGTGTTATTGCACTCCAGGAACAAGGCTAGGCAGTGTTGTAGTCTTACAAATTTTAATATGGGACAGTTTCAGGGCAGCCACCGGTGGGTTCCCCGTTGCCCTTTCCCCTCCCACCCAGCATCACTTCCCAATGGGAAAAACAACCATCCATTGCTATACAAAATGTGTGGCAGGGCAGAATTTAGGGGACTCTGGATACTGCCTCCCAGAGTACCCAGTTAATTTTTTTTTTAAAAAAATTCCCCATACATCTATCCATTCCCTTTGGGATCAACTGTCCTATGTAGAGAAGAAAAAAGGCAAAACCAAAAATGCAAATATTTCTCACCCCACAAGTGCAATTCCATTCACTAAAATGCCTTTATGTATAACAGCCAGGAAAAAAAATAAACTGTATTTATTAAGCTTATCCTGCCCTCTTACAAGACTTTTCCATTGGATTATGGATCTCCTTGATTTAAAAAAAAAAGAGAGAAAAAGGGGAGATCGTCCAGACTGATGGACCTGTCAAAAATAAACAAAGAAAAAGACTGGATAAGTCAGGAAACTGCACTACTCTTCTTCATAGACATGTTTACAAGGGCAGTGGGCCAATCAGGGGGTTAACCCTTGGCCTGGGTAACCATTTAAAAGCCTCTAAGCTGATGAGTTTACATCATTAAATGAGCTAACAGGCCATTTCCTTCCTTCCTTCCTTCCTGCCTGCCTTCCTTCCCTGGACTTACAGGCTGCTCCAATTGTGAATTATTCTCAATAGCATACACCCCACCACCATAAACTGGGTTTAAAATAATACAATAAAAAGAAACACATCAATAATATCATACAACCTACAATACATATAGCACCAGGAAGAATCATCCATATAACCAAGGGTCAAAAAACCCCTCCACTACCAGTGGGAACAGGATCACAACATTCTAGTCTTCAAGGCCTGGTGGAGTAACTGTATTGTAAAGGCCTTCCTGACAACCAGGAGGAAGGGAGGGAGACACAGTAGAGATTTATAAGCAGAGAAGTCCCTTCCGTTACAATAATATTCTTTTATAATGACTGGGTGGAAAGTATGTGGGGACCCTATTGGATTTGCTGAAATGGTTGACACGGGCATCCACAGGAAGCCAACAGGGGGCAAATGATGAAATGCACACTGTGACTTCCCTCTTCTGCATGCATGTTGCGATAGTGTACAAATATATATGAAGACCAGAATTTGCCTTGTGATGTCACTATGCATGCTTCATCATTTTGATGAAACTTCTGGATCCTGCAGAAGTTATGATGCAACTTATTTCTAGGAAGTTACTTCATTAAGATGAGAACATGACCACTAACTTGATTGACTTTTTAGATGGTTAGGCAGTCATACAACACAGGTTTATTAACAGCCCTCAGTTATGATAGCCTGGTAAAACTTTCATGTTTAAAGAAATAGAGTTCTGGGTATCAGATGCTTGGGACAAATTTTTGCCCATCTTGTCAGCCTCCAGGTACTATACTGAACATTATAGCACAATGGCAGTTAGGCCAAACTTTGGCACACACTAGTTGCAAGTGCAGGTAGCGGCTGTCAGCGACTTCTGGTCTTTACAAGAAAAGAGCCAATGTTAACAGACTTCAATTTCCCAGGGGTATCTAGCTGGCTTCTCAAAAGAACAAAATACTGAACTACATTGATCACTGTCTAAACCTGAGAAAGCTCTGGTTTTCTTACGTGCAGCAATTTAACTGTAAAGAGATCACCTATGCAATTAATGTTCAGTCCAAATTTATGTCAAACAGGAACTGTGTCAAAATTCTGACACATCCTTTGCTTTGGCTAATACTGTGAATCCTTCCTTATACACATTATATAGCTGTTATCTCCCAATTAATATTAAAATTGATAGTATTTCTTTGTTCCTGACTCTCCTGCGCAATCTCCCTGCCCCACACGCATAAACTAGCTACAGGAGAGGTAAATATGGATAAGCTGGCAATGATGGAGAATCAGCAGCTCTCTCCAGTTCTGCTTCTGCTACAAGGGCTGATATGTTCCGTTAAGACTGATTGACATCTATGAGGATTTTGTTGAGGAAGAAAAGATTGTGAAGTCATCCTCAACCTCCTTAACCCATATAAATGTCATTACTGTAATATATTAGGGGTAGAGTATATGTTTACTGGTGTCATTGTATTTTATTTTTCTCATTTTTAATTTCTTTTCATAGGATCAAGATAGTCTGCAGGCCAGACACTGCAAAAAGATTTCAAGTGATTGACTAATTATGACCGTTGATGCAAATCATACATATTGGAAAGCCTACTGGCTACCTGAGAAGACAAGATAAGTAAATGTATTCAGTTAGTTTCTCACACCGACAGACTATAGGAAGAGGGAAGATGATTTTTTGTCCTCTCTGGATGGAATTCCTACATATCCTCAAACTCAGTTCCATAGACTCTCTGAAGCAAATATTGGGGAGGAGATCAGAAAAGGAGAGGAATGTCCTGTTTTGCAAACTGAAACCTGGATGTATGACTTTGGATATCACCCTGGATTCCAGAATTTATTTATATAGCTACTCAGAGATGGGGGCTTGATGATTTTATCTTACCTTTCACTTGAATAAAACCCATAGGAAGTAGCTGCAAGAGAAGCAAAATAGAACAGATGGATCTGAAACCTATGTCCACATTCCATGGTTAATTATATATTCTAAGTAGTTCAGTAATGTTTGGAAGTGGGGTGGGGATTAAACCAGCAAGGTGGCACATGGAGTGTCACAATACAATCTCCACCCTTTTTCTACCTGTGTGCGATGTTGCCAAAATGGAAACCAGGAACTGCAGTCCTAGAAATGAAAATTCCTACTTGATAAAGTGCTAAGAGGGCTCAAGATACAAAAATGCCATGAATTACAGCAAAAATGTGGCTTTGCTTAACTGTACAATCTTAAATGTTTTGTATAGTATTGCACACTTTAGAACTTGGCCAGCATGGGAACTTCTGGGTTTGGAGGACCAAAGGGCACAACTAGTTTTCCTTAAACATCTAAGAAACTTGTAGCATCCTGAATGCTAAGAAATATATTCTTGCATAAGCTAAGAAATATATTCTTGCGTAAGATTATAATTTGTTTTTAAGCCTTTTGTTTTGTGCTTTAAAGACTAACATGATCCCCTATACAGTACCTTAAGCAGGACATACTTTACAATGCAAGAAAAGGCATATTACCCCCTATGGATTTATATATATGGCCATGAGAAGTGCCATAGCACTCTGTCCCCTGTAATATGTCCTTTGTACTTTTCTGGCATGGCTACTAGTATTGCAATTTATTTATTGTGTTGTCTACTATGATTGTATTTCTGTTTGTCACACTGATCATTGAATAATAATAATAATATTCTGGGATTCTAGAAATTAGGATCACCTTAAATGTTCAAGTACCCCACATAATGCTGGGATAGTGGTTTTGTTCTGCAAATGATGGATGTATTTTTCTTCTTCTTTCTTCTGGTTTTTACTGTTTTTATTCTTTGAATAATTTTGCAGTGAGCTGTAGCTTGAAAAACCTTATGCCTTTTAATAACATGTGTTAAGTCATAAAAGGTGCTACCAGTCTCCTTCTGATTTTTGGCTACCTCCTATATTGTTTTTGAAATGTGAGGCCCAATAAACTCATATTCTAAAGGGTTTTCTGGGTGATGTCTGCCCCACGGGGGTGGGGGGAACTATTTTATTTAGTTATACCAGCTGGTGGTAAGTGGCAAGGGTAGTTCCATGTGCAATGTGAATTCTAGCTGCTGCAGCAATAAAATAATAATAATAATAATAATAAATGGGTATAAATAAGACAAAAGAGATAAAAAGACTAGCTGTTATCTCTAGTTTTCAGAGAAGAAGAGCTTGTTCCACAGAAGCATTAGCCATCTTCCTGGCCCTCCTCAGTTCACTAAGAGTAAAATATAAATAACTGAGCATTACATGGGTTGATACGTAAACTATAAAAGGGATTTTTAGAAAGTTACAGAATTGTTTTAAGTACAGCATTAAACACATTAACTGCTTAATTTGTTGCACTTCTTTCGTTCCCAATTTGTAAACACTGAGAAATGGCATCTTCGTTCAAATGGTAAAGCAAAAGATGGATGAAGTCCCCATAAAATCCATCCAGCTGTGCAAACAGCTCCCTTGCAATGGAACTGTTACTGTCTTACTGTCTTAAAACAAAGAAGAAAACATTAAACTGTGTTTCTCAACCTTGGCACTTTAAGATGAGTGGACTTCAACTCCCAGAATTCCCCAGCCAGCATGGCTGCATTAAACTGCATTAAACACTGCATTAAACGATTTCCCCCCTAGAACGATCTATGTCACCTGAGTGACCTATTTAGCCCTTTCCCGGTGGAGGCAAAGCGCACGATCGTGATGATACCTTTTCCTTCAAGCCCTTTTTTCCTGAAATCCAAAGTCAAACTTAACGCCTTGGCTTCCTCCTCCCGCGGACATCCATTCTGTACCTAGCGGGATCTCACTCTGCGAGGTGCCATAACTGCAGTGCACAACTGAGGGCAGGTTCCGCCCGGAAAGAGGGTGGCATTCAGACGGTCTTCCCTTTTACCCACCTGACTGCGGCTCGCCCATCCTGCACGAGGAGGAAGCTGCTTCCCTCAGCTCACGCCGCAGCCTGCAGTGGTAGAAAAGCGGGCGCTCGGGAGCGTCCCTTGCGTTCGTCTTTGTTTCCGTCGCCACGGCAACCTAGGGAATTCCCGCCCCCCCCTCGGTCTGTTTGTTTCCCTCTCTCTGAACTTCCCGCGCCGCGAGAGGGCGCGTGGGACCTGCGGGTTCCGTTCCTAACAGTGCAAAATTCTCTTCGACTTCATCACTTTCCTATTCAAGAAGATTCTGTGCAGTTGTTAACCCTGACTCTGCTGCCCTGACCTTTGTGACTATATCGCACATGCAGATTCGCTATCCTTCTGTTTGCCGTGCTCTAAAATCTGAAAACCGAGAAAAGGGAGCCAAACATTTCCACCACCTTCCTGAGGGTGCAATCTTCCTTAACTTAGTCCAGAAAACAAGGGATCATCGCAGGGAACCTGGTTCAATATTATGTAAACAAACGCACAATGGAGGAGGATAAAAATATTTTGGTTTAATAAAAAAGGAAGTTTTAACATTCGAGCAGGAAACACTTCTAGAAAAGTTTGGTAGTTTTTGTTCTTACAAAAAGTTTATAAGATATACCTTTTTCTTAACACAAAAAAAGCTGCTTGTGTCGCCTTGTGTGCCACTGTATGTGGTGCTACCACCACCACCAAAGATCTCTTTCTCAAAAATGAGAAAGAAGAATTTTGTTCCATTGATGTAGCTGAAAGTACCTCTATGCTGAAAATTGCAACAATTCTGAATGAAATTAGATCATGGGAGCCACCTTGCCTCTCTAGGCAAAAGCCATCACTCTTAAAAATTGTGAAAAAGGATGTCACGTGGTGAAGCAAAGAACGAGAGGGTAACACCAACACCTTCCTCCACTGTTAACATTTCTCCGGAAACCTTTCTCACCAATTGTCCCTGCCCTCAATTCAGAGCAGTATACTTTTACTCTGAAATATCTAGGCTTTTGTTCTTAGACAGAAAACGAAGTGGAAGAACTGTTTTAGAACGTTACCACCCCATTTTAAAAGATGACAACCCATATTTGAAGGGAGGGTTTTGGCCTCTTGTGTCATTCTGGCTGATGCTTTCAAAGTGAGAGCTGGCTACGTGAAAATCAGCAAAGGGAGGTGCTGGTGGAGGCCCTCGGTATTGCATCTGAACTGGCTGGAAACATGTAAGTACAAAGCCAGATTCTCGCCAGACCACATCTTTTCACAGCAGCTTGTGGCCACAAGTTTTCTGGGTGGACTACAAAGTTATTACAAGAATAAAAACACTAAAAACAAGAAGTACACCATAAGAAGAAACTCACTATCCCAGTGTTATGTGGGATATTTAAACTTTTCAAAATAATCTCAATTCTTCTAGGAATTTATACTAAGACTATTAGTATTATTAAATGACCAATCAATATGACAGAAAGACAAAGACATGAGACAACAAACAAATTATATAGCACATTATAAAATTAGGAGATAAGAGCCATATGAGCTATCTGAAATATATCAACCAGCTAAGGTCTAAAATCAAATTAAATTGTTAATATTGTAGAACTAAAATAAAATAAAACTTCACCAACGGGAGTGTATCTAGGCATACTTGCAGAACCAAATTTGACTGTTACAAATGGAACAAAGCAGGATAATTAGCAGTCTAGTGGACATTACAGGTGGTCCTGGCTTAACCACCACTCGCTCAGTGACTGTTCAAACTTGCAATGGTTTTGAATGAGTGGAACTTGCGCCTGGTCCTCTGAGTTCTGGCCAATGCAATTTCCCGTGGTCATTTGGTTGCCATTTGCAACCTTCTTTGCCAGCTTCTGACAAGCAAAGTCAATAGGGAAGCCAGCAGGAGGTCGCAAATGGCAACTACGATGTCCTTGCTTAATGACCTGCGGTGATTCGCTTTAATGATGGCAACTGGGAGTGCCAGAATTGTCGTTGTTAACCAAGGACTACCTGTATAGATTTGGTGACTGCCTCAGTGTGTTGATGTCAGCCAAGAGCTGATTTTCATACTGTAGTCGCAGAACAAAATTCTTGGCTGCCAATTATGGCTAGGCAACAACTGATATAAAATGACAGTGTCCAGCATTTTCCATGTCATTTTTAGTACATGTCAAAGAAACCTGAGTCATGCAATCAGTCTGTATGAGACTTTAAATACAAGAGGATTTTTTTCTGCTCCTCAGTCTAGAATTGGTAAAAAATTCTGAGTTTTCATCAGCAAATAAACTGCACTATTTCAATTGTCCAGATATCCAGAAATAAAGCAACAGGTCAAATTTTGCAGTGGTTCTTCCTTCTTCCTCTCTTATTGCCTTTTCACTGATGTGACTATCTTTTCCTCTTCCTATCTTCTCAATACAAGTAATTTTCTTATTAGAATCTTTATCTGAATCTTAATGAAGGATATACTTCATTCAGGATTTGAATGCAAAAGCAAAAGTTGTATGAGTTACATAATAATCATGCATTGTATAAATCCTTCAAGAAACACTTTTTTGTATAAGGATTCTTTGGATTAAATTCTGATTAATTATATACCATCAGGTCGGTGTTAATTCTTGGCAATCACGTAAATAGACCTTCAGTAAAACACACACATACAGAATTTAAAACAAACCAATAACATTTAAAATACAGAACAAAGAAACCCTTAAGACAATAACAAGAAGAGGATACCACCTGGCTTCTGCAAGCCATAGCT